CGTTTCAGGTCGCATGACTGTATTACTTTAACATGTGGAAAAACAATTGTATTAATTTTATAATCAACACTTCGAAAATGATGAGTTATAATAATTGGGTTTTAATGTATAAAGTAAATTGATTTTGATTATACATTATTATTTGAATACTTTCAATTGTTTATTTGTTATTTTATTTTCTTTATTAGTAAACGTGACATTATTATGGACTTGTTTCACCAAAACATGTTCATTGATAAGATTTGTGTTAATGTAAATAATTGGATATATAAATCTTATTCTGTTATTTTAGACTTCAATGTAAATAAGCTTTTATACTTTAATACAATCATGCCTCCTGAAACGTATTCGATTAGATATTTAGTTATATTAGTCGACAAAAGTTAATGTATTAATTTTTATTTTATGGTAATATGGATTGACGTATTTGACAACTTTATTGTCCAGTTTAAATAATTGAAAATTTCAAAACAAACAACTTAAATCCAAAATAAAATATCAAAGAAACCGTTTTTCAAAAAACTTATAAACACCACATTTTATGCAAATACCAATAGCAATACACAAGAATAAAATATCAGCCAAAATGTCTTTCAGTGGCAACGCAAAGATACTTTCTCTAGCCATAATAAGAGTCACTCCCAAAAACGAAGCAAAGAGAAATAAAATAGTTTTTTTATGAAAAAGAACATTTTCAACAAACTTAACACACTTTGTGGTTTTTTCTGATTTTGTAAGAAAATAGACAATTTCGTGAGTTTTATACGCGCTATCTTCCTCGTCCAATTTCACAGCAACAAACAATAAAATTGTTTGCAAAATTCCAACCCACACGATTTTTATTATAATGTTTTTTTCTCCATCCAAAACAATTCCAAACGAAAACATAAAAATAATAAAAATGGCTGCCACTGTAAATGCCATTAACATTGAAATTTCTTCTCTGTAACCTCTGTGAAATATCTCTGGAATGCCAGAACCAACGATAAACACCAAAAGAACATCAAACATAAAAAGATGTTCCTTTTCACACAATAAATTGGCTTCACTTCCAAATAGCATAAAAACGTACTTTTTAATTAATGTATAGCAAAGGAAAAGATTAAAAGGTAACCGCAGAATTCTCATCAACACGTCACCGTTTTCAACTTTGTTAACTTTCTCGAATTTCAAAAAGTTTATTGGAATATCTACAAATGTTTCTCTCTGAATCGTAAAGACATTTTTAAGTTCATCAAAATTTTCAATTTTTGAATTTGTTTTATTTATTTTGATTTTCTCGACATTGTGTGGAAGGGAAACACTCGCTCCAAACAACTTCACTTTTTGTAGTGATGAAAACATTTTGTAATTTCCGTTAAAAAACAGATTCATTGTATGTGGTAAATACAAAGTGTTGTAGTCTTTCCTCACTGTTTCAGAATTTTTAAAATTATTCAATAAGTTGGTGCTCGTGATCTTGTTTGTATTCACAAATTTATTTCCACACACATCAACAGTTAAGGTCACGTTTTCTGGGATACTACAATTACACAGAAAGGAAATATCATTTGTTGGGAAATCAATTAAAGACACTGCAATGTCGAGTGAGAATTTGGGATGTAATACACTCTTTACATTATTTATGACTCTTTGTGCTTCTTCTAATGACTCACCCTTTGCAACTATCTTGTGAAGGTTGGGATATTTCCATAAGTCGATCGAGTTGTCAATTATTTTGTTCAGAGGAATAACAAGTTTTGCCACATTTGTCATTTCAACATCTAAATGCAAAGCCAACATTTCATAGGTTTTAATCTTCTTAAATTTCAAGTTGTAAAGCGATAGTTCAATTGGAACTGAATCTTTGTTGTGTTTGTTTGTGTAAAAGTTGTTGATCAAAAAATTGAAGCTTATTGGAAGTTTTGCAAGAGGAATTTCTGCTGTTGGAATGGTGAGGGACTGAATGTGTGGGAAACATGTTTGAATTATAAAATAACATTTTTGGGAAGGCAATTCGAATGACCATGGATTTGTTAACATTGAATTACATGTATTTTGAGCTTTTTTACATGTTTGTACAAATTTGGGAAGATCAGACACATGGAGATAAAACACTACATTCATCATATATACCATTTCCAACCGACTCATTTTGATTATATGTTTTGAGTTTACATCCACTTTTATAATTGAAATTGGTTTCTTCTTTTAATTGAAAGAAGAATTAAATTAATCCTTTTGAAATGAAAAACAAAATTATTAATTAAATATTTTTGTTTTTATAATATATTAATTTTTAAATTCAATTTATTATTTTAAAATTAATATAATATTTATTATTGATCTAGTTTAATTGATATATATTAATAAGTTATATCGATTGTTGTTTAAAACTTTAGATTAAATATAATAAAATATAAATAGTAGGAATATTAATATTATAATACAATTAATTTAGAATGATCAAAACTATAGAACAATTGAAAATAATAAGATTTGAATACATAACGAGAAAAAATTTCGAAGTGTCTATATTTTTCTTTTCATACCAAAATCAAACACGAAAACTTTTTTTGAAATAATGACATTATATTATATTAAATAAAAACTATAGATTATAATTTTTCATTATTACTTCCATTATTTAATTCATTTTAGATCTAATATTTATATTTCAAATAAAACTTCTAAAAAATTAAACAATTGCAAACCAAAAATTATATGATCAATTTCAATAAATATATAATAAATAAATAATAAAACCCAATTTCGTTTTTTCAATTCCAATTGAAGGTGAAATTATAACCTTCAGTCAAAAAAATTATTAAAAAAAATACAGTGCTACATATAGTTTTGTTTAATAAAATTTACTTAAATACACAAACAATTATTTTCTGTTGAAAACAAAAATAACTGTTTGTTTATTCATATTTAAATAAACTAATAAAGTATTAAAAAATAATAATTAATTATCATTTAGTGACTATAAATATTTATTCGACTTATTAAGTCCAAAAAAACGCAAACTTCCATAAATAATAGTAGTATTAAAGTTTGTATCTTTTTTTATACAAACCATAGTTATTGCTATGTTAACGTTGATTTTGTTGTGTCTAATATCAACCTCGTACTCAGCCAACAACTTTTTACCAAATCCTTCCTTTGAGGAAGGTTCAGGTACTACCATCACCGGGTGGTCCATCTATGGAGGTCAATGTGAGTTGACCACGGCTACTGCCCATACTGGAAAGCAGTCAGTACATTGTAAAGATACCAAAACCGATTCAGCTACTGGAATTATTACTTACACAAGTAACCTCATCCCTGGCATTTACTACAACATTTCAGTTTACATCAAAATGAGCAATGTTCAAAACGGATATCTCTTGATGTTTGCTGAGTCCATGAATTACATTTATGGCGTTTATTTGAACTCCAACTCAAACGAAGTGTGCAAGACTGGAACATGTAATGATAAGTGGTATCAGTTCACTGCTCCTTCTGAAATGTCTTTCCAACAGCAAAGATACACAATTCAAGTCAACTTGCGACCAGACAAGGGAATTGGTGAGTACTGGATAGACGATTTCACTCTTATTCCTGTCGAGAAGGATGTTTTAGTCGCAATAGATCCAATTACATGGAGACAAGAAGCTTATGAAGACCCATTTGAAATCAGGGTTGGTCTTAACACAATAAGAACGACATTGAAAACGGCGCCTATCTGGACTTGACGCTTGACATCATGAAAGAGGGCAGCACTGAAACACTTCTGAAGTTTACAAACGAGTCATTTGTTTTCAGAGAGATTATGGACCAGAAAGTGGCCTCGTTGATGGAGTTTGACCCAAAACTTATCACAGAACCCGGGTACTACACTCTAAAAATCACTTGTTTCAACTCCGTCTTTT